TTTAAAAGAAAAACAAAACTATGCATGGATTGCAAATTTTTTTTTTTCACAGCATAAATATCCTGTCAAGATTTGGGGCATATACACAGGTAATTCCTTTTCCACAAAATTTTTGAAGTTCCCTTATTTTGTGAGCGATTACATTCCACATACAATTTTTGGGGGCTGGGGAAGATTTTTGATATAGGGCGCATGCATTCACCCGAAAGAGAGAGAGAAACAGAAAGAGAGAAATCACTCCCTAGAGGGTGTGCCACACCGCAGTCCCTTCTCCTCCATTCTCCTCTCAGGATTTTGGGCATGCATTCACATTTGCCTGGTGTGAGTTTTAAGCCGATGGGTCTAGGACTTGAACTGCAGTCAATTATGTGGGAGTCCAGTGATGTAACCATTATGCCATCTGCTGGTCCCTACTCTACATAAACTACAACGTATAGTTATTTATGCGTTTAGTTTCCTCTGCCTAGAACACTTCCTGAGGTAGCTGAAAGGTGGAAGAATTCAGTACATAAATCATTTTATTAAAATGTTACTTCCTCAGAGAGGCATTCTTTGCCTTCCCAATTCAAAATCTACCCCTCTTCCTCAGCCTAGTCTATTCCTTGGCCTGCTGTTTTCTGGGGGACTCATGAACCACTCACTCACTATCTGTAACCATAACAATTCTGTCTATGTCTACCTTTAAGTTTTTGTCTATGTCTTCCCCATGAAATAAAACTATGATAAGAACTCTGTGTCTCAGTTCAGCAAAAGTGAAGTTTTATCAATGAAGGGTTGTTAGGTGAGGAACAAAACAATTCTCTGAAGTATCACTCCTTGCTATTAAAGTTCATTTCTAATATTTTTTTCTAATATTTTTATGTATTCTATGTTAAAAACTAGCCTCCCAAGAGATTTACACATTTAACATGTAAACAGAAAAAAAAATAATGAAGTTGAAAGCTTTCATATAACCCTTAGAAATTTTACTGTAATTAATGGACAGACAGACCTTACAGCCTACCGATTAAGGGAGCCATATCTAAGACAGTAAACTGTGGTTCAAATCCCAGCCCTGATGGCGTGGAAAAACACAGTGAGCATGTGTACAGGCATGCCAAAAATCCCAACAAGATGCAGAAATGGAGAAGGGATTTCAGCATGACCATGCCCCACTACAGGATGCCTTCTCCCTCTCCCTCTTTCTCTCTGTCCATCTGGCACATGCCTTCTGGCAATTAAAAGGCAAAAACAGAAACAAACAAACCTAACAATCTGTAAGTCAGACGTGTAACGGTGATTAACCTAAAGCTCCAAGGACATACAAGAGATAAAACAGCTGCTGATGGGTTTCAATTTAATCAAATTAGTACATGTTAATAAGCATTAAGATAGTACTCTGTATACATGGTAACTAAAATCCCTACTGCGTTTTTACAAATAAAACAAAGATAATAACAACAGTCAATGGAAAACAATAGCAGAAGACCCTAATTAAATTAATCCTTTATCAATTTCAATACACACACAAAAATACACTACCTTGCATATGATCTTATTGTTGATATAATTTAAGGATTAAGCGATATTTGGGATAATAGTTATCATTTATGGAGCACATACTATGCCTAATCTTTTCAATAATTCTACAAGGTAATTTTTATATTAATTTTTCTTTTGATAGAGGTTTTTGCCTTAGGGCACGTGCACTTGCCAGAGAGAGACAGAGATAGTGAGAGGGAAAGTGAGAAATCTGTCCTGAGAGGGAATGGCCACACCGTAATCCCTTCTCCTCCCAGGATCTTGGCCATGTACGTACACACACCCAGTGTAAGTTTCAAGCAGTCCAGAGGTAAATAAACTTGTGTTAACACTGATACAAAGCCAGGAGTTTCTAGGTTCTGTAGACACCAAAGTTCACATCAGTGAAAGTAAACCACAACCAAGACATTAATACCGACAGCATGAGACATTTTCAATGCACAACTATTGTAACAAATCCTTCTGTACCACAAAATACTAAGATCATAGCAAGAGTTACTGGCAACCCGTGTCTGTTTTTCTATACTCTATAAATTATCATCTAGTTAGATCTTTTCACTGTCCTCAGAAGAGGAGTGTTTAGGGTAAACTCATTGCACAGACTTACCCAAGCTTGATCTCGTGTTGGATCTTTCTATTATTGCATGCTTACTGGGATTGTTTAATACTGAGCGTTTGGCAAGCGAGATGTCTGCGGTGACCCTAGTGATGGATATCCTGTTGGGGAAAAAGGAAGAGAAGACTGTAAGGCATTAATCGCAAACAAAGTGATAGAAGTATACACACAAAACCCATCTAAGTATAAAATGCATGTGGTGACATTTTCAAACCATATCTGTTAATGCCTCTATCATTCATTTTTGCTTATCCTACACCCTCCTTCTTAGCATTTGTTAGTTGCTTACCAAGTGCGCTTGACCTGGATTATCTCATTAAAGTATCCCAAAAAATTTTGGAGAGATTTTTTTGTTATCCCACTTTTGCTAAAGAAAAATTATGAGCCACAGATAGATTATTATTCAAGGGTATGCATTTACAAAATGGCGGGACTGGAATTTGAACCCAGACTCTTCAGCTACAGACACTTTCCAACCCATAGTTAGGCACAAAGAATAAGAATAAGAGAAACATGGTCTTCCCTCAGAGAGCTCAGTGTCTAGTGGCAGGAATGAATAATAAATGAGAAAATGCTTGACACAGTAATTAAAGATTATGATGAGTATTGTGAAGAATGAGACAGGTATTATGACAGACAGTACTGAGACAAGGATATCCTTTCCAGTAGGATAGAAATAAGAACAACAAAATGTGGAAAATTTGGACTTAGATTGGAGAAAGCTGAGTATTAAAATCAGTGTAGGGCAAGCAACTATGCATGGATTGCAAATTTTTTTTTTTCACAGCATAAATATCCTGTCAAGATTTGGGGCATATACACAGGTAATTCCTTTTCCACAAAATTTTTGAAGTTCCCTTATTTTGTGAGCGATTACATTCCACATACAATTTTTGGGGGCTGGGGAAGATTTTTGATATAGGGCGCATGCATTCACCCGAAAGAGAGAGAGAAACAGAAAGAGAGAAATCACTCCCTAGAGGGTGTGCCACACCGCAGTCCCTTCTCCTCCATTCTCCTCTCAGGATTTTGGGCATGCATTCACATTTGCCTGGTGTGAGTTTTAAGCCGATGGGTCTAGGACTTGAACTGCAGTCAATTATGTGGGAGTCCAGTGATGTAACCATTATGCCATCTGCTGGTCCCTACTCTACATAAACTACAACGTATAGTTATTTATGCGTTTAGTTTCCTCTGCCTAGAACACTTCCTGAGGTAGCTGAAAGGTGGAAGAATTCAGTACATAAATCATTTTATTAAAATGTTACTTCCTCAGAGAGGCATTCTTTGCCTTCCCAATTCAAAATCTACCCCTCTTCCTCAGCCTAGTCTATTCCTTGGCCTGCTGTTTTCTGGGGGACTCATGAACCACTCACTCACTATCTGTAACCATAACAATTCTGTCTATGTCTACCTTTAAGTTTTTGTCTATGTCTTCCCCATGAAATAAAACTATGATAAGAACTCTGTGTCTCAGTTCAGCAAAAGTGAAGTTTTATCAATGAAGGGTTGTTAGGTGAGGAACAAAACAATTCTCTGAAGTATCACTCCTTGCTATTAAAGTTCATTTCTAATATTTTTTTCTAATATTTTTATGTATTCTATGTTAAAAACTAGCCTCCCAAGAGATTTACACATTTAACATGTAAACAGAAAAAAAAATAATGAAGTTGAAAGCTTTCATATAACCCTTAGAAATTTTACTGTAATTAATGGACAGACAGACCTTACAGCCTACCGATTAAGGGAGCCATATCTAAGACAGTAAACTGTGGTTCAAATCCCAGCCCTGATGGCGTGGAAAAACACAGTGAGCATGTGTACAGGCATGCCAAAAATCCCAACAAGATGCAGAAATGGAGAAGGGATTTCAGCATGACCATGCCCCACTACAGGATGCCTTCTCCCTCTCCCTCTTTCTCTCTGTCCATCTGGCACATGCCTTCTGGCAATTAAAAGGCAAAAACAGAAACAAACAAACCTAACAATCTGTAAGTCAGACGTGTAACGGTGATTAACCTAAAGCTCCAAGGACATACAAGAGATAAAACAGCTGCTGATGGGTTTCAATTTAATCAAATTAGTACATGTTAATAAGCATTAAGATAGTACTCTGTATACATGGTAACTAAAATCCCTACTGCGTTTTTACAAATAAAACAAAGATAATAACAACAGTCAATGGAAAACAATAGCAGAAGACCCTAATTAAATTAATCCTTTATCAATTTCAATACACACACAAAAATACACTACCTTGCATATGATCTTATTGTTGATATAATTTAAGGATTAAGCGATATTTGGGATAATAGTTATCATTTATGGAGCACATACTATGCCTAATCTTTTCAATAATTCTACAAGGTAATTTTTATATTAATTTTTCTTTTGATAGAGGTTTTTGCCTTAGGGCACGTGCACTTGCCAGAGAGAGACAGAGATAGTGAGAGGGAAAGTGAGAAATCTGTCCTGAGAGGGAATGGCCACACCGTAATCCCTTCTCCTCCCAGGATCTTGGCCATGTACGTACACACACCCAGTGTAAGTTTCAAGCAGTCCAGAGGTAAATAAACTTGTGTTAACACTGATACAAAGCCAGGAGTTTCTAGGTTCTGTAGACACCAAAGTTCACATCAGTGAAAGTAAACCACAACCAAGACATTAATACCGACAGCATGAGACATTTTCAATGCACAACTATTGTAACAAATCCTTCTGTACCACAAAATACTAAGATCATAGCAAGAGTTACTGGCAACCCGTGTCTGTTTTTCTATACTCTATAAATTATCATCTAGTTAGATCTTTTCACTGTCCTCAGAAGAGGAGTGTTTAGGGTAAACTCATTGCACAGACTTACCCAAGCTTGATCTCGTGTTGGATCTTTCTATTATTGCATGCTTACTGGGATTGTTTAATACTGAGCGTTTGGCAAGCGAGATGTCTGCGGTGACCCTAGTGATGGATATCCTGTTGGGGAAAAAGGAAGAGAAGACTGTAAGGCATTAATCGCAAACAAAGTGATAGAAGTATACACACAAAACCCATCTAAGTATAAAATGCATGTGGTGACATTTTCAAACCATATCTGTTAATGCCTCTATCATTCATTTTTGCTTATCCTACACCCTCCTTCTTAGCATTTGTTAGTTGCTTACCAAGTGCGCTTGACCTGGATTATCTCATTAAAGTATCCCAAAAAATTTTGGAGAGATTTTTTTGTTATCCCACTTTTGCTAAAGAAAAATTATGAGCCACAGATAGATTATTATTCAAGGGTATGCATTTACAAAATGGCGGGACTGGAATTTGAACCCAGACTCTTCAGCTACAGACACTTTCCAACCCATAGTTAGGCACAAAGAATAAGAATAAGAGAAACATGGTCTTCCCTCAGAGAGCTCAGTGTCTAGTGGCAGGAATGAATAATAAATGAGAAAATGCTTGACACAGTAATTAAAGATTATGATGAGTATTGTGAAGAATGAGACAGGTATTATGACAGACAGTACTGAGACAAGGATATCCTTTCCAGTAGGATAGAAATAAGAACAACAAAATGTGGAAAATTTGGACTTAGATTGGAGAAAGCTGAGTATTAAAATCTGTGTAGGGCAAGC